CCGATATGGTGGACATGCGGAATTCAGAGGCAGGGATGGGAAGAGGACAGGGGGAGGAGAAAGGAGGAGAACGCGGGGCGCTGTCTCTTCAAAACGAAGACCCAACACCACAGGATGGTTGGGAAACGAACAACGTCTTACGCGGGCCGCCAACGAGGCACATAAGGTTGGAAGCGAGGGCGTTCACGCGCAACCTTACGCGGGAAACTCATGCGCGAACGGCAGCGCAGTCGCCCAGGGGACGGGCTCAAGGGGGGAACATCGAACTGGACAATTAGCGCCGACAGGCGAAGGAGAACGATAGCGGCTCAAGGGGGGGGGGGAAACATCGATTGAGGACGATCAAAATGCAGACATATCAGCTGGTGGAGCTCCTCCGCGCGGACCTCCAAGAGGAGTTTTACTCGTTTTTGCAGCTGCTTCTTCTTCTTCTTCGGATCGCACCGGACAAGGGGGGCCACAGGCGAAGGGGAACGGTGTGGGGGGGGGAAGTATTTCCTCTGAGGATCGGGGTAAGATGAGAAAGGAATCGAGATCTCACGTTCACTCTGCTCAGTGGTAGAGGGTACGGGATGAGACATCGATAAGACAAGTAACCGGTAAGCAAATGCACTCTAGGTATGGTAAGGGAAGAGGCCGGCCGGCCGACGCCCGCGCGCGGACGCACAGCGGCGCGCTCCTTTTTCACCTTCGAGCACAAACAGCTGAGGGATAGTACCGCAGCTACAGTCATACAGCGCGCAGCAAGGCAAGCGATATGATAAGCAGCATTAAGATGAGGCGGAGAGGAGCATATTTACTCCCCCCGCGGCGGGCCTAGTAGAGCCCATCCAGCCACAGCACACCTGACCTGCACATATACACAACCACCGGAGCCAACCGCAAAATAATTTTACGGCTCAACGGCGGCTGCCAGGGGGGCTAAAGGCCGAAGAGGCCCGACGACTCCCACCATCAGATAAATAAATTCTCTCCGCCGATGCGACTGCGTCGATCGGTAGAGCTGCTTTGTTCGTCCGATGCGACTGCGTCGGTCGGTAGAGCTGCTTTGTTCGTCCGATGCGACTTCGTCGATCGGCGAAAATTCTCTCGCATGCGCCTGCGGCGACTAAGTCACGCGTGCCGGACTCAATCCAGATCCTAGAACGGGTTGTCACCCGTCGGTGGCGTCGGAGGCCTCGGACGTGATGACGCCGAGACACCTGTTTGTCCCTCGCCGCCACGGGGCGAACGGGGCCCCCCTTTGCCACGGCCAGCGTAGCACGCTGATCTGTAGTGCTTGTCTTTGTTCTCGGTCGCCTTCCCCTTCGGCGGGAAGCGAAAAAAATGCTCGGCAAGAGACAGGACATGCCACGTCTGCGACCACCAGACGTCGTAGGACAGCCACCAGAGCCGATCCCGATGGACGCGGCATCCGCCCTGCACATCATTCACGCAGTGCGGGTAGGAGACGAGCGGGTCGTCGCCAGCAGCGCCCCGGCCGACGTCCATGGCTCCATCGCGCGCGCGCCTGGGCCTCGACCAATCCCGTGCGTCTGAATACCACGAATATTCTTCTCTTGCCGAGGCGGCTGTGCCGCTGGCAGAGTATGGGGATTCGGTTACTTCGTCGCCAGCCCGAGCGTCTTGGACGTCGGGTCTGCGCGGCGGAGGTGGCAGTTGCGGTCTCGCTTTCGCCTCGTCCTGCGGTCGTCTCGGCCCCACCGAACCAGCTTGGCTGTCGGGGGGCCCACTGGCATGTCCACTCTCACGAACATGCCGTTCTCGATCGCAAATGAACTTCAGCATATTCCCGGCAGCAATAGCTACAGGAATGCCAAATTTACCGCATGCAATACGGAACGGGCCTGCATCTTTATATTGGAGCTCCGTGCTATTATCTACGCACCTGCTTTGAAGCCAATAAATGGCCTCCTGTAACGATGAGCCCTGGCGACGAATGTCAGTTCGCACTTGTCTACCTACATCGCGGGCCCACTCTTCTATGAGGTCGCCCGTCTGAGCCGCAGCGCGGATGCGACAGTCAAGGGCGTATGCATCCCTTCGTCGCTTATAACGTTCATCATCTGACCTCCCACCCGCGGTGAGACTTGTTCTCCCCGGGTAATCAACGAAATGTCAATCTGGAATAAAGGAGCTCATGATTTCGCGAACGATAGCAACCACTCTTATAATACGAAGACCAAGTTGAATGTGTGATACAGGGGCCACCCAGTTCCCTTCAACTATGTTCCTCACGAAATCTGGGACTTCATGTTGTGTTCTGACAGTCGCAACCTATTGGGATCATTTGTATTTGAGCGAACATTTGTGTATTCAATGACATATTGGGCTGTTATCGCTCTAGCTTCAATCCCCGTCAAAGATATACGTATTGAAATGTCCTCACAATGTTTATATGAATATCCGTTGAGATGATCAAGGGTGATCACCCCGTCAGTTATCAGCGTGGCCTTAGGCCCGTTGATGGCTGCGAAGTCAAGTGTCACCTGAAGATGCGCGTCTGCCGTCTCGGCTTGGCCGGAGGCAGGTTGCATCATTGGTGCTATGAGGCGATGGTCGCGACACTGGTTTGCTCGCCTAGTGACAGAACGAGAGTCACGACTCGGTCTTGCCTCAAGGCTGTTTTACCAGGCAACCGGTAGACGTCCGCGAGGGCTTTGCCCTGCGGCGTCTGCGGCATCGCCCTGCTGTATAGGCATCCACGGTCTCCCCATGGCCACCTGATCGGCTATCGTCTGAAGTGTCGGGACGAAAACGTTTGCCCTGTTCATTGTGTGCTGCCATCTTTCCCAACCATTCATCGGTTCATGGAGGTGGTCTGGCTGGTCTGGCCAGTCGAAGGCTGCCAGAGCCGGACAAGACATTGGGCGCGCATGCTGGTCAATATCCGTTTTCCAAAGTAGGGGCCACCATACCTGAATTGAAGGAACTTGCGTCCTCGCTCTTGACGCCAAGAATGCGAGCCACAATGAATCTCTGTTTCAAGGGCTCCAAATACTGGAAGAAAGGGCCATGACGCGCCGGCGGCTGTGCCGCGGCGTTCTCTGGGACCCAGGCAGGGAAGCTACCCGGCTGACTATTTCCAAAGATTTGGCCAGCGGCAGCCATACGTGCGAATGCCCCATTTGCCCTTTTGCGCCCATGTTGTTGATTACTGCTGATATTGTTCATTACATTCGCAGAGGCCCTCCTTTGTCTTTGCACACGCGCATCGATCCATTCAGCACGCGCACTGGGAAGATCATCAGGGCTGTCCACATGTAATTCAATTCCATTTGCCCTAAGGGATGTCGGAATGGTCTCCTTATTCCACGTCTGGAGCATATAGTCATGAGTGACTCGATGTTTGCATTTGATCCGACAGTTGCAAAATCCACAGTGTCCAAAGCCCGTGCGCACCCAGTGAAATTGACAGCACAAAAACATACCGTCGTCGGTCCATGGAACAGACTGAACACGTTCTTGCGCCTCGGGCGACAATGGGGGCCTGTGGTTTGGGACCAACGATAGCGTTCCGTCAGTGTGAATCCAAGCGATCACTGATTCGTTGACAAAAGTCACCTCGTATGAGGCCCATTCATGGTTGAAAACACACCGAAACATATGCTGGCTTCTGGGACCCATCGGGTCTCCAACTTTAACAAGAGCAACTGCCTTGTCAATATCAGTGAACCTCGGTACCTCTCGAGACACGAGAGCCCCGTCCTGGCAAATTCTATATGACAATCGAATGAGTACTCGGCCGGCGAACACAAGAATTAATGGCCAGGAATCTCGATGGTTGGGGAGCTTATCCCACAGATGGACTGTGTCCTCTGCGGGCCACGTCCCAACTGTTGGCGGCTCTCTTCTTGCGCATTATGGTCCATAGCTACAAACCGTCTTGGAGGGAAAGCCCCCCCATACCTCCGCTGGCTGAGCCATGGAGGGATATGCCTTGCATTCGGCATTGTTGGGCTTCTTTTGGTCGGAAGCAGCCTTAGTAGTTCGTAGTCTGCTTCGAGGCAAAATCCAGCATCTTTCTTCGGAAAGCGTACCCTTCCATCTGTAGATTCCAGGAACGTCTGCATGTCTGCGACGTGGAGAAGGGACCCGTGACTCCTGGCTTGGCCAGGGTCATATGGGACGTACATCCTCTCTATGGAAGCAACAAAAGTGGAATGTCCCTGGCATACACGATAGGAGACATGTATGGCAACCGCACTCCTTTCTTTTGTTTGCGAGGGGCACGCCTTGTAATTTTGCCACACGTTGTAAACACTCGTTCCACTGATATTATCACTATCTGCAAGAAAACCTCCCAAAACTTCTACTGTTTCTGGCTGCAACGCGGCTATGCCGTGTGCAGCGAGAGCATATGACTGATAACTGAATCCGTCCTCGGCAATCTCTTGTACAAGGTCTCCGAAATAGACCCAGCCACCCGATGATCTCGCATAGTCCGAGCAATGCCTCGCGAGATACGTCGCGCACTTACCTATGTGCTGAGCAAACTCGTCAATTCGGCAGCTCCGGGGTCTCCAAAAGT